ATAGAGAGATAAGGTTTTTTTGTAAATAAAAGGAAGTGTGAGGATAAAATTGGAATATCACGTCAATTTCATTAATCTGAAGTGAGAAGCTCCCCTGGAAGCACGAAATTGGTGCTTTCGGGATTTGCAAAGGAATGGGGAGAAGATGTGCTTCTGGGAAGCTGCAGCATGTTGGAAAAGCTACCTTGTTTGAGAAGCTAAGCCGTTTGTTTGGTGCAGTCTGTGCTCTCAAAATCAAAAAGCTCTTTTTACAATTTGCACCAAATAGGCACTTAATCGGCTAAGAGGAGAGGAGAAGAGAGAAGATGAGAGGAAAAGGGGAGAGAGAAGACTCTACTGATTTTGGTTTAGATGGAGGAGAGAGAAGATGGGTGGCTAAAGATGAAGTTTAAAGGTAAATTTGTAATTTTAACTTTTATAATTAAAATTACTTATCATGTTTCATATTAATATATGAGATGCCACATCATCAATTTTTTTATACCACGAATTTTTCATGCCATTTATATAAAAAATAAATCACACAATTTCGTTAATTAACTGTCATTTGTAAAAAAATTTAAGGAATAGACTAAAAAAATGTCGAATTTTAAACTTTAGGAAATAAAAAGAAAAATTTTTTAGTGTAAGGATAAAAAAAGAGCTTTTTTTCAATAGTAAATGGATAAAAAAAAAGTATTTAACATAAGAATTTTTTTTTTAATTTTTTAAAAGCAAGGATGATTAACTATAAAAATAAGAAAAACTACGCCCTGTTAAAGTTTTACGGCAGTAAATAAATGTGGGGCTTATACGTGAAAAAAGACCTTCATGATGGTAGTTCCCAGCCCAAGCGCCAAAATTGAACCTTCAATGCCCAACTTCGACGGAGTGGCCGAGCGCAGAGTTCAGTTCCCGTGTATATGGTGCTTTGCTTCGACATTGTACCGAAACGATAACCTCATTACAGCTATGGTTCTTCACCTAAGTTTCCCAAAGAAGGGTAACTGCTTAGACTTCTTGTTACCGAGATTCTCATGGATATGTGGGTAAAGCTGAACTTTTGTCTGATGCAAGCAAACTGTTTGATGAAATGTTCAACAGAAATACGGTGTCTTTTGTGACGTCGATTCCAGGGTATTTGTGGTTTCAACAATTTGTTGAGGCTGTGGAGTTGTTCTCTATGCTACATTGGGAACCCATTTGGCTTTACTTTGATTTTGAAAGTTCTTGTCAGTATGGGGTGGGCAGGTTTGGGTTGGACGGTTCAAGCTCGCATTTATAAGCTTGTCCATGACTCTGTTAGATTTGTTGGAACTGGTCTTATTGATGCATATTGTGTTTATGGATGCACTGGATAGTTCCGGAGAAGGTTTTGGTAGGATAGCATGTAAAGATAGGGTGATTTGGACGGGGATGGTAGCTAGCTATACTGAAAGTGATTTTTTTGAAGAGGCATTAGAGCTATTCTTGCAAATGAGGGTGGCTGGTTTTGAGCCTGACAATTTTACCTTTTCTGTTGACTGTTGTCTTGAGGCTAGTCTTTAAAGACTATTTATGAGCAAGATATTTATGTTGGAGTTGGATTGCTTGAGTTGCATCCCAAATGTGGGGACATTGGTGTTGTAAAAAGGATTCTTGAAGAGATTCCTCGGAGAGACGTAATTGCTTGGTGTTTCATGATTTTGCAGTTTTCTCAGAATGAGCAGATTGAAGAAGCTCTGAATCTGTTTTCTGGAGTGAGGTGAGATGAGCTTTATTGCCCCTGATCATTCACATTTTCAACTTCCCTACCAACAAGCTTGTGCTAACATGATGCAGGAGCATAGAGCTCTTTTTAATGATTAGTTTTAGGGCTATTTGTTTTGCATTAAGTTTGATTTTTATTTGGAGTCTAAGTTTTAGGAAGGTCATGTGGATATTGTGTGACTTTTAATTAGGATTAGAATTAGTAGCTTATTAGGAGTTCATAGTTTATTAGAAGTTCAAATTAGAATTGAATTAGGAGTCTTGGCTATTGTTAGTATATATAGTTATCTTTAGATCTCTAAATCAGTTTTTGTTATGAGATTTTAGTTTTGAGAATAAACTTGAGGTTGAAAACCTAAGTTTTCTTGGTTCCAGCTTTAATTTTACGGAGTTCTTCGTTTCTGTTTGTTCTACCCCTACCTTCCCTGCATCATAACATGGAGGGTTTAGAGCTAGGGAAGCAAATCTATTGCTTTGTCTAAAAGTTGGCCTCGGCTTAGATGTCTCTGTTTCAAATGCCCTCATGGATGTCATGCTAAGTGTGGGAGGATTGAGGATGCAAAGAAACTATTTGAGGAATCAACCAGCAGAAATGAGCTGACTTGGAACACAATCATTGTTGGCTATGTTTACTTTGGGGATGCAAAGAAGGCATTGAATCTGTTCTTGAAAATGCTTTAAAACTGTATTCAAGCAACTGAAGTGACATAATCTAGTGGCATTGGAGCCAGGAATTCAGTTCACTCAGCTATCTAACTTAATTATGAAGAGGATACTGCAGTTGGTGGCTTTAGTTGATATAGATGCCAAGTGTGGCAGAATCAGGGATGTTCATTTAGTGTTGATATGATGAATGAACAAGATGAAGTTTCATGGAGTGTTATGATCTCATGATATTCCATCCATGGTATAAGTATTGAGGCTTTAGCTATTTCAGATGATGCTAGAAAATGGGCGTAAAACAAACAGGGTAACTTTTGTGGTGTGCTATCTGCATGCAGCAACTCATGACTATTGGATCAAGGGCATGCTTATTTTGAATCTATGGTTTGGGACTATGGCATTGAGCCATATACAGAGCATTAAGTTCTATGGTATGGCTTTTGGGCAGGTTGGCTCATCTTGATAAGGTTGTCCAGTTGATTAATGAAATCTAATATAAACCTAGTGTTATGTTATGGCATGTGTTGCTTGGTGCTTGTGTTATTATTAAAATGTTGAGCTTGGAAGAATTTCTACAAGCATATTTTTGAGATGGAACCCCAAGATGAGGCAACCTATGTGCTATTGTCTAACTTGTATGTCATTGAAAGAAGGTGGGAGAATGTCACTTCTAGGAAAAGCATGATAAGTAGAGGAGTGAAGAAGGAACTGGTTTGAAGTTGGACTGAAAACCAGGACACAGTTCATTCTTTAGCTGTAAGGGATAGTTTGCCTCCTGACAAGAAAGTGATAGAGGGGATCTTAGAGTGGTTGAATGAAATCAAGGCGGGTTATGTTCACAACTGTAAAGCTGTTTTGCAGCTTTTGCTTGATTTGGAGGATGATGAAAAGGAACGTCATCTGTGGGTGTGCAGTGAATGATTAGCCCTAGCTTTTCATTTATTTAGAACACCACCAGGAAGTGATTTTTATATATTAAGAAGTTCCACATATGTGTGGCTTGTCATGCTGCAATGAAATTAATATCAAAGCTTCTGCTCTGCAGATAGATATAGTTGTCAGATTTTTAATTGTTTCCATCACGTTCAGGTTGGAATATGCTCTGTGGTGATCACTGGTAATTAATGTGCCCCTATTAGATTTGTCAATTTTGGGAGGCTAGAGTTTTATTCTTCTCAGGGAGGTCCATATTCGTGGAGGCTTCCTTAGGTTTCTGTCTCTAGGTCATTCTTAGTATGACTGTGTAAGTGGAGCAGTTGTTTACCTCTGAATTCGACTTTTCTGTTTGATCACATAATTTTTGATTAATTTTGCTTTGTTTTTCTCTAAAATTTGCCAACCTAGGTTGACTTGGGGGAAAAGCTTGTACAGACTGAAAATGTTTCTATACTCTAAGAAAGAATGCATGGAGTTGAGTTAAATGTGGCCGTTAGAATTGACTCCCAGTTAGACCATGTTTTACATGCCTAACATCAAGTCTATATAATCTCCACGGGTATGAATATAATGGGTAACAGAAATGGTGAATTTCCCTTTCACCAGTTGTCCTGTTTTCTTAATCTTTCTTTGTACCAAAAGGAAAATTTCATTTTCAGATAATTCTTGTTTGCTTCTTCTTCTTCCCTTTTTTGTTTTTTATTTTTTTGTTTTTCTTTTCTGGTTCAAGTTCCGCTTTCAGTCTAATCAGGTTAGTTTATTGAGGTACACACTGAGTGGAGTAGGTGGCTAAGCCACCTGCCTTAAAGTGGAGGCACCCCCTGGGTCTGTGGTTCGACCCAGCCTCTTCCCCCTCCGCCCTCTCCTTTTAAGCAAGAAAATACTAAAAATAATAGTGTACTTCAAAAAAAAAAAAAAAA